GTGAGTAAAACGTGAATAGGATGTATTTCGTGTATAATACGGTGTAATTAGAAATGAAGAAATCTGTGTTCCAAGTATTGGTGAACGAATAACGAGTTAACTCGTTAAAAGTGAAAATGTTATCTACGAATGACGAGTTCTCCTGGATAGTTGCCCAAATATTTGAATGGTCAAAGTTGTTAAGGAGGGTCTCTAAGCTTCATTCTTATCGTCGTTCGGTTGGTATTTGGTTTTAAAGTCTTCCCATTCGTACGTACGAGATAAAGATGAGAGAAAGATTCGTGGAAGAGACTAAAGCAATCTTCGGCAACTGAATTCTCATCGGACTAAATACGAGGACCGAATTTAGAAACGAAAGCTAAAGGAAGCAACGTTCACCGACAAAATTCATTCGAAACCTGTAGAATCTCGTATGAAACTCGAAATAAAAAGTCGTAACCGCTGCGTGCAACCGTGTTAAAGATATTCGTAAACTAATTTTCCGGTGGTGCTCGAGTGCCGCGAGTTCCTCGACCGTGCAACACGGTGTTTACGACGAGATCGAGGTAATTTATCATAAAACGACAACGACGGAGCGATCACGATCGCACAGCCTGTCCTTATTGCATCTTTTTCGATCCTCGTCGCCTCATTTTCTCGACATCTGCATCTTTTTTAATGAAGAGGCGACGTCGAGTAGTTTCGAGCCCCCCTACAGTGAACAGAGGGGGACAAAGAAGCGATATCGAGGAGAAAGACGGAGGAGAGAATCAGGTTCGAGATCGTTAATTCGACTTTTGCCGAGCGGTTCGCGTTCGCCGAAGGAATGGCGCGTGAGAGGTCCGACCAGGCTCGACGTGGAATTACAACTCGATGCGTATAATTCTCGTGGAGATTCGAGCTCGGGTATAAAGATACCTGGATGGAGAGCATTTCTCCCGCGAGTGGTAGCCGACTCGCGAAAAATGCCACGTCCTTGAGGTAACCGACACTCGAGATCGCGCTGCGACAGCGATACTGCAAACCTAGCGCACTATCGATGGCGTAATGGTCACTGATGTAACCAGAAGATTAGTGCGATTGTAAACAGAAAATCTGTACATTCGCACGTTCAGCTCCTTTCTCGAGTACGCAAACTTGAATCAACCCCTTCAGGTGAGAAACACCGTTCTTACATAATCAACGAAGGATGAGGTAATCAGATAGAATACACGATCCTCTCGGTTGATTCACGGAAAAATGAGTCATGCTAGGTTTTTGCGCGAATAGTAGAACGTGAGTATATGTATATCGAGTAGGATATCGTTTCTTTTTTTTGTTTTAGAGAAAGCTTATCGCGGTGTAGGTGTTAGCATGCAACGGCGTTTTCCCTCGCGAAATATTTGTTTCGTTGATTTGCTCTAATGAATGCGCGTATATAGGAGAGAAGAGAGGCCGCGTGTTAGCGCGTGTTTAGCTAAGTTTAGCGGTGGTTTCAGATGGTTGCCACTGTTTTCTCGACGATGTATTATCGAGGCGTTAACAGCATTGCGCGTTTCGAAGTTGCGGTTCGTTCAACCCCAACCAGGGTGGTTCTCCAAATGCACGGTTACTTTTGACAAGCAATCGAGCGAAAGTATCGAACACATTTCGATAAAACCGTGTTTAACTTCTTATGGAAATACTGTTTCGGCATTATCAAGAGGTTGGTAATTAATGTTCCGTGCTACATACCTTGGTGAACAAACTGGCGGCGTGTGTACGCATAGTTCTTGGTCGTATTTCATACTTGGCCACTGCTGTTTACGTTAGTTGCCTCGAAAGTGAACCAACAGATGTGCATGCGCGTATAAACACTTGGATCCAGGTTTGGATTTTAGAAAACGCTCAAGGAAATTCGTTACCGCGACGTCTGCGCACAGCTGTTTCCTTTCCTTTTGACTTCAACGCGTGATACGGTTCGTCCCGATAGTAGCTCGCTGTGATAAACATTTTCGAGCACGAAAATTCAGTAGGCTCGAGAAGGTTGTGATTCGACTTAACGGTTCCCCGCCAGCGTGGGTCAGATGCATACTTTTGATCGATAGTAGGTGCTTTACTGTTACCGTTGATGTATGCGGCTACATTACGCGAAACGTCTAACGATAAATACACTCGTATTTGCTTAACCATATTTCACCTCGCAATCGTAACTTTCGATCGTCGAACGCAGCTTTGAAAATGATTTCACCCTGTCCTTTTCAAATGGTTTTCTATCGACAGTTTTCCTCGTCGCTCTTTGCAAATTGAAGAAGTTATCTCGCTATTAGCGTAACCACGGCCACGTGTCCGGCAAGATAAGCTGCGTTCTCTACCTGTTTCTTTTAATCAGGCTTAATTTCACCCCATCCTACCGGTTAACGTAACAAAAATCCGCGTTCAGTTCTGCCGTTAGCGCAGAAATAACCGGTTAACAGAAGCTCTCCTCCTCGTGTCTCCTCGCGACAATGTTCGCGGTCCACGCGTTTCGCGTTTGATACCATGAAAGCTGGATGACCTCAACTATGAAATTCCGTTACATCTATCATGTGTAGAAATCTCCCGGTTCGTCGTCAATTACCGTCTACCATCCTGTTCTGTCTCCCGTCGACTGTTCCCTAAAACTGGCAACCCTTCCCGATCGTAATGATGCAGGAAACGCCTTTTTAAAATTCATTCGGCCTAGCGTGCCGGAGTTGCGTACGGGTAGGATGAATGATGTATATTGTACTAAAAGTTGGGTACTGAAAAAAAAGTGTTTACCAATTCTTAACATTTTTACGGGACGAGCAAATTGTCATCCTAGAGAATATGGATATTAATTTAAATAATTGGCTGTATTTTCATTCTATTCCTATTTTAATTTTAATTTCGAGTTATCACTCTAGAAAATATAGATTTTAAACGATCCTTCAGTTTTTTAGGTTTTTCAGTATGAATAGATCATCATCCCGTAATTTCAATATTTAGCGAACGTAATCATTTTCAAATCTAGACTTTCCATTATCAACGCGCGTCATTTTTATCGTTCCTAAACACGAGACACGTGATTCACAATACGCAAACTACGTAGGTTAGAGGCTCGTAACGACTCAAACAAAGTCCTTTCGAAAACCGTAGAAACGATTTCCACGATGAATCATCCGGTTCGTAATAAGTCTCCTTTATTCCCAACAGTGAGAAGGTATTTTTAAACAACGAGCTAACTCATCCTCCCGAGTTAACCGGCAAATACCATCCTATTAGCAGCTAACGTGCATCTCCATCGAACAATCGTTCCAGTGGTCGTTGCTCTCGATCGCGTAGGATGACCGGGGATCGAAAGCGCGCAGGAAGTCGGCGCGTTACGTGTCGCGATTCGGTTTTCTGGCAGAGATACAATACCTCCGTGTGGAGGAGGAGGAGGAGTCTGGTGGTGATCGGTCGAAGAAAACTGGCGATCGTGTAGAAGGCGTGCAAAAAGAACTCGATGCACCATATTCGGAAGCGGCACGGTTTCGTAAGGAAAGCTCCACGTTGGCCGATGACCGGCCAGGAAAGACGCGCGCGCTCTCGTACGCGTATCTTACGGCATACTTCTCTTCGGCTACGTGATCGTCATTCGTGATTTCTGACCCCTTCTCTCCTCCTACCTTCTTCCCTCGTCGTTTGCCCCTCTTGTTGCTATCTCGTGCCCCTTCGTACGTAAGATAAGCACGACGACGACCGCGGGTTTCCATTCATTCATCCGCTGGCCATCAGTGACGTTCGTTACGCTTCTTCTCTCTCTTTCTCTCCCTTTCTTCTTCATTTGTCCACTTTTCCGTGAAATCTGGGATGAAAAATGCATAACTTTCTGGCTCGGTTAGCCTCCAAGCTGATAACAGACCAGATGATTAATACCATTCGCGATGTTGATGGAGTTAACGATGTCGGGATGTATTTCGTTTGGCAATAATTCGGAATATTCGATGGAACGGGGAGATGCAATCGAAGGCAGTGATGAATGGTGATAGAGAGAGAGAGAGATGATCTATGTGGATTAATGCGAAGGAACGATAGCGAGTAGGATTGTCGAAGGGAAATTTCAAAGAATTTCATTGGAATCGATATCGAGAGGATGGTTGGAAGGTTGGCCTGGGATAAGGTAATCTGATTGGAATCTGAATATTCTGGTTTCTTGTAAAAATGGAGCTAATGTATGCGGTTGCATTGAGTTTTGAAGGACTCTTCGAGAAGATAGGAGAGAGAGAGAGAGAACCGAACCGAGTGGAAGATTATTTTTGGTCCAAGTACGGTGTGAATCATTCCTGGGTATGATTATCGCGTGAAATGTTTCTGATGAGAGTCTCGCAGATTTCCAACCTGATCTTAAACGAGAGAGTTTCAGTTAGATATCGGGTGTAGTAGTAGCAGCTGTTGGTAACGTTAGAAAATGGAAATCTACGGGTTGATGAAAAATCGCTGCCCGAGCAGAAATCCGACCACAGGTATTTAAGCAGTGTGTACTTATGACTTTCTGTTGGCCGACCTAAATTTCAAGAGTTTACTGCTGCATCTACCGAGGTCAATGAGTGTCAACGCGATAGATGACGAGCCGTCGTTGCCACGTCGACAATAATTTCGCGGTGGTCTCGGAATGACAATGAAACCCGCTGCTTTTACTGCAGAAATGAGATATCCCCGTCGAGAGATACCTGCCTTTTTTTCTCCCTCCCACATCCTGATCGTAGCAACAGCGTTAATCTCTCGAGAAGATTTCGTCTAACATGTATTGTACGATTGTAATTTGTAATAAACACATTAAATACATATGTGTAACGTTTTCTTATTTGGAACAGTTTGATCGATGTTCCTCGATTGTCCAGAATGATCTTCTTTCACAATCGTTCGAGCATCGTCTAATTTTGAAGATTTCGGTAGGGATTAAACTTATTACACAGCGTGTTACGTATATTTAACGACCTAAGTATGATTGATTTTCTTCGATTAGGAACAATTATCTTGCGATTGCAACGATGTATGATCGTGTACGTGTATTGCAGATGAGCGGGAAGACGTACAGAAGAAAACATTTGCCAAATGGATAAATTCACAGTTACTTAAGGTACGTCGAAAATTGCAGAAAATTTGAGAAACCTAAATGTCACGTAAATTCGGAATAAAAAGACACAGATATTCGCAATTCAACGAATTATTCCCTGATGCAGAATCATCACGAACCGATTTCCGATTTATTCGTCGACCTGAGAGATGGAAATCGATTGCTGTCGCTTTTGGAAGTCCTCACGTCGAAAGTCTACGTAAGTATCCTCGACAGATGTGAACGATTGCATAATCGAGGGACGGATAGGTGAGATAGGCTCATTATGCGGCACAGACGTCGATATTTTGTAATCTTCGAAACATTTCGCTCGACAGCTGTTCTTTTTTTAAACATTACTACTCGTAGTGTAAGTGCGTTTTCTGTTTACATTATGAGCCGGTGCTAATAGAATTCTAAGCAGGTGCGCCTATTCGGTATTATGAATATTTGCATGAGAGTGCTGATTATCTCTATGCACAGTAGGCGTAAAGAGAATTCCGTGCGAGTAGGGTATCTGTGCCGTATCCACGGGCGTCTTTGTCCATTCCGAAGATTCACTTCGCTCGAATCGCTCGTTTAAATTCACCGCGACACGTGATTAACGTCGTTGCCTATTTTACGGATTGAACGAAAGTTTAGGTGTTTATCGGCTTAGAAACGTTCGACGTTGATTGATTTTCTCCTTGTTTGCAGAAAAGGGAACGTGGTCGAATGAGAGTTCATCATCTGAACAACGTTAACAAAGCATTGCAAATTCTTGAACAAAATAACGTGAGTTGTGTACATATTTCGAGAGGGGTAGCCTCGGTAAGTTGTAATTTAACGGTATGCGATATCCTCTTTAGGTGAAACTCGTAAATATTAGCAGCAACGATATCGTTGACGGGAATCCTAAGCTAACACTCGGATTAGTATGGAGTATTATCCTTCACTGGCAGGTCAGTTTTATCGGCAAACGTTGCATGCCTTTTTTTTTATCAGCGCTATTTCACTTGTAACTTGAAATTAAACGAAACGTTTGTCCAGGTACATTACCATTTGAAAGATTTAATGACAGAGCTGCAGCAGACGAATTTGGAGAAAACCCTTTTAGCGTGGTGTCGTCAGAATTCGCAGGTAACATCTTGCTGGAAAAATAAACTAGGACTTGTTTTTTCTCTTTCTTCTTTACCGACGAGGTGTCCACATGGTTGAAAAAACACTTCGCGTCCCGTATTTCTTTCAGAATTATCCTGGAGTTGATATTAAAAATTTCACGACATCCTGGTCGGATGGTCTGGCGTTCAACGCGATTCTGCACAAATGGAAACCTCATTTGTTCGATTTTAACAACATATCGCGTAAACATCCGAACGCTAGACTAGATCACGCGTTTCGTATCGCTCAGGAACAGTTGGGTATCGAACGTTTGTTGGATCCAGAAGGTAAATTCAATTTCAAAGTGAAATTAATATTATTTGGACTAATCTCGTTAAACTGAAGATTCACCTTGTGTTTTCAGATGTGAACACATCTGTGCCAGATAAAAAGTCAATAATGATGTACGTTATGTGCCTGTTCCAATCGTTACCTCATTCCGGAGATGATATAGGCGAGCTAGATCTTTCTGTAGCGAGCGACGGTAGTCCGGTTACAACACCAGGAGCAGAGGTATTTAATCAGATTTTATGTCGTTTGATAACTGTATGCATCGTTGAAAATACAAAAGAATTATTTGCAGAATACGTTATCTTTCACAAATTTCGGAACGCCGACGTCACGGCCGATGAGTCTAGCAACGAACGTATCGGTGGAACTTGGTGGTTACCAGGTTGCACTCGAGGAAGTTTTAACCTGGCTTCTGGAGGCAGAGGATAAATTAAATCACGCTCCAGAGCCTGGGTCGAGCTTGGAGATATTGAAGCAACAATTTCACGAACACGAGACATTTTTGATGGAGCTGTCCGGACACCAGGATGGAGTCGGTGCTGTGTTGGAGGAAGGTGCGAGATTATTAGCCGAAGGTGGTTTGCATAAAGACGAGGAGCACGAAGTTCGTGTTCAAATGTCGTTGCTGAACTCTCGATGGGAAGGTCTTCGAATGCGTGCAATGGAAAGACAAACGAAAATTCACGAGGTACGATCGAGATTTCGTAAATTTTGTCGCCGAGTTCTTTTTGCTTAACTATTGGTCATTTTTGTCTGGTGATTACAGGTTCTTATGCAAATGCAGCAAGGCCAGCTAGATGCGTTGCGGCAGTGGTTAACAAGGACAGAAGACAGGATTTCGCTAATGGCGGCGATTGAATTGAATCAATCTGCCTTAGATGAGCAACTTAAACAATTAAACGAACTGGAACAAGATATCGAGGCGCAACAAGGAGTTGTCGATGGTATGAGGAACATGGTGGTTGTTGTGGATGAAGAAAACTCCGAGGCGGTTTATGCTCAAATGGAAGATCAATTATCTGCCCTTGGAGAACGATGGACCCATATTTGTCAGTGGAAGGAAGAAAGGAGGCAACGTTTGCTAGCGTTTTCCGCGCTTTGGCAGAGTGTCAACGACGATTACAAGAGATTAGTATCGTGGTTGAATGAAACTGAAATCACGTTGAAACAGATGGAGGCAAATCCGGCATCCGAGCTCGGTGAAGTACTCGAGAGAATAAAAAAGTTACAACTTTTGAAAATAGAAATGGACGCAAATCAAAGGAAGTTAACGTCGTTGCAAGAATCGGTCCAAGAATTTGAAGGCCAAAGCACTTCGTCAGAGTGTATTAGTATATTAGAGAAGATCGAGTATCTGCAGGATCGATGGGAAGCTGTGGGGCAAATAATGGAAGTACAGTCACAAAGGGTAATATATAGCATTTGATTTTTTTTAAATACAGTATTACACGTTTCTTGCTTTTATGCGAGAAATAATTTTATTTTTATTTTACGTTAGATAACTAGTTCGGGATTTGAATTCGATCTAAAGTCCGAGAGGGAAACCACAGTGATTACAGGCAACGATTGGATGACTGAAACAGTAACGAGCATCGCTTATAAAGAAGAAATCGCTGCAACGGTATGCTTGCGGATTGTTTTATGGGATTTCTTATTTAATTTATTGTACGATACGTTGTTATCTGTGTTGTTGCTCTTTTCAGTCTACACCACATAGCGATTCCAAGAAACGTCGTGTGGATAGCACATTTAGGCATGAATTCGAATCTGCATTACATAATCTATACAAATGGCTCGATTATGTTGATTTGGAAATCGGACGATCTGAGGGAGTGTTCGATGAATTAAGCGTTGAAGAGAAAAAAGTAGTTTACAATGATACAATAGCTGATATAGAAGCACACAGGGATGATTATAATAGAGTTTTGGAATTGGGAAAACAGCTTCTTGGTGAATTGAAGAATGCTAATGAATCAATCGAAGGAGAAGAATCGAAACTTAAAGACATACAGAATTGTTGGATGGCGACAAATAATCGGCTTGAAGAAATAAAGACTCGTATAGAATATCTGGAAGAAGTGAAAAGATTTCGAACGGAATTGGCTAGTTTAAATTTAATGTTGGACAGCTATTCTAAATGGTTCGACTCGAATAAAGGAAACGGTCAAGTGGAACCGTTTAGGGTAAAATTGAAGTCGATGAAGTCTCACGAAGAACGTATTAAAAAGTTATTAGAAAAAGCCAAAGAATTATCAGAAAATCAAACTGGTATCAATGAAACTGTTAATGTAAATGCAGATATACAAACGTTTGTTTGTAGCTGGGAAAAGTTGTATAAAATACTATCCGAAAGGTTAGCTGAATTAAATGATGCTGTTGATAAAACACCACCAAAGAAATACACAGATGCAGTTGCCAGTCTCACTTCTTTTATTAATAACGTGGAAAGCATGTTATTATCGGAACATATCGTGATGTCAGATGACAAGACAATGACGGAACAATTAAAAAAGTTTAGCGACCTGCAAAATTCTTTAAAGGAACATCAAGAGGTTTTTAATTATGTAAATAGTGTTGGACATGAACTAATAATGAAAACTGGCGGAGATTCGCAGGGGCAAAGGCACAAAGATGTACTGCAAGATCTTAATACCAAATGGAGCGACATTCCTATAATATTAGAAGAACGTCAACAGAACCTTTTAAAAGACATGCAGTCTTTAAAGATATTTAATAACGAACTTTCGGATCTTGAAAACTGGCTTGAGAAATCGTATCGATATCTAGAAGAATTGTCGAAAGATTGTACATCAAATGATATCGAAACTATGGAGTTTAAGTTGAAGCAAATTCAATCCTTCTGCGAGGAAATAAATCAAACAAAACCTACAATAGAAAGACTTCAAACATCTACAAATAGACTACTTGAAAATTCTGAACCAAAATTCGCGAGCGTGTTAAACAATAAATTGGAAGTTGTATCGTATAAGTGGAATGCTATTGTCGATGGTGCTAAAAGTTTAAATGACAAGTACGAGGATACTTTGAAAAGAAATGATGAAATCATAAATGGAATAGAAGATTTTACAAAATGGTTATCAGCTTTAGAAAAAGAAATACCAGTTGAAACGAAAATAACGTCATCTGTTGAATTATTTCAAGTTCGTGGTCGATATCAATCGTTGAAAGAAAAAATAGATAAACGAGTGGAAGAATTTCGAAACCTTAATGAAATGGGGAATGATAAATTGTTAAGTTCCGAAGGATCTTCCGTGCAAGAGCTTGGCAGACGGTTTACGTTCTTGAATGCTCGATGGACAGACGTGACAGATCGCATTTATGAACGATATAGACATTTACAAAATGCTAGTCACGAGTACGGTGAATTTCGTGCTTTGGTTGCACAAGAAAGTGATTGGTTGGATAAATTAGATAAGAGATTGAAGAAATCAACAGAAACTGCTGCAGACGCTGAAGAAATATCGGAAGAACTTGATGTAAGTATATACTTTATAGTACTAGGAAAACTTGTATAGTTTGTTCAAAAAATAACGAATTTTCTTTTTAAAAAGGATTTGGAGAATTATATACGGAATCATCCAGAATTAAGACTTGAAAAAATTCAAGAAATTGGGAAACAGTTAGTTGAAAGTAATATTATGACACAGTCCATTCAAGCAGATGTGGAGAGTTTAACAAGTCGTTGGGAAACCCTAAGTAATCAGGTATGTAACTGTTATATTTCATGTTATGATATTTTTATGCCACATGTACATCAAGAATGCTTGAAATATTGTTTTGTTTTTTCAAATTTTGTTTGTAACAAAAATTTGTACTTGTTTTTAACTGCATGCATCATTGCTAAAGAAGTTTTAAGTATTTGTTAGTTGAACCCATTGAAATATGTCAATGTTACTTTTTACACTGCTTCGAAAAATTGCACTTGTTGGTATAAATTAGGAGGCCCTTACTTATTTTATACTTGTTTCGTGTAATTCATTAGAAACAGCAATACTGTTACAATACCAAATTTTTAAGTTAATAATTCGTTTTTTTAATATTTCATAAGTTTTCATTTTTTGCTGAATACGTTTAAATAATTGTGTACAAAAAAGTTACTTAATCGAGTTATACAGAAAATTAGAATTATATTTTGAGTAGGCAGGGCAGCGAGCAAAGCTGCTGGAAGGATCGGTGAAGCAAGCGCAACAGTCAGAAGGACGTATTCTCGCTCTTCAACACTCCTTAATGCAAATAGATTCTGTACTAACTGCACGTCTTGACAGCGACCTTACTGCTGATGATTTGCCTCATGATTATCAGGTCTGTTAGAGAAAATTTTTTTTTACTAAATGTTTGTTATAAGAAATTCAGCTGTAACGTGGAATATAAAGCATTGTAATGAAGAAGCATGATAAGGACTGTTATTTGTATATTCTGTGAAAATATGAATTAATATTTAATGTGTAACATACTGTTATCACTTTCATGATTATAAATCGCGCAAGAAATTAGACAGATGTAAATTTTATGGAGATATTAACTGTACACATTTGCAATTCAGAAATTAATGGAAGAAATGGAACATCAACGTGCAACACTTCATGAAATGGCATTACAAATTGAATCATATAAAGCTTCTGGAAAACAAGAAGCAGCACTCAGGTTACAAGAGCAATTGACTCTTATTGAACAAAAGTTTTCTGACGTTCAAAAGAAATTTCAGCGTTTCCGATGTCCGACAAATTTAGAACCTAGACTATCTAGAGCTTTACGCGAACTTAGAGGGATAGAAGAAGCAACTTGCTTATTAGAATTATCATCAGAAGATCCAGAGGTTATTGAAGGACAACTTAAACACTGTTTGGTAATTAACTGTTTAAGGCTTATATCTTATTTTTCATAGAATTGTAAATAACAATAATAACGTCTATGATATATTATGCCATATAGCGTTTTTATCAAACATTAAGTGAAATTAAGAGCGAGATAGAAAATATTATAGTAACTGGTAGAAAATTAGTTGAAGAAAACACTGTTGGTGAACCAGATAAATTTTCAAGACGAATTGATATGTTAAAAGAATTGTACAATAAGGTAATATATGTATGTTATTAATATGATGTTTTCATAAATGATTAACATCTATGTACAATCGTGTATGTGTTAATTTATTGTAGCTTGGACTACATATAACTAAATCGAAATCATGCTTGGAGACAGCCTTGGATTTATCACGTGATATGTATAAAAACATGTCTTATATTAACATGTCTATAGACAGTATTAATAAAGAATTAGATACGCAGAAAAATATGCCTGATCTTCCTGTTAACGCGATATATGTACGAGTAAGTACATCATCAGTATACAGTATACCGTAAATAAATTCAAATTTTATTGTAATATTTTTTTCATAAAAATGAATGGTAAATTTGGTTTGAATAGGAAACTTTAACAGAAGTAGTACCACGCTTAAACGTTCAGAAAGATAAGTTATTACATTCTCAAGAACAATTTTCTAAACTTTGTGATCCAATGTATTTAGAGCAACTTAAAGATAAGTTGTCCGATGTTGTTATCCGATTAGTAAATACTGAAAAGAGATTAAGACTTTGCAATGCTTCAGAGGTAAATATATAATGTATAAAAGTTCGCTGCAACGTAAAAAAAAAATTGTTTTCATACTTTCAGGAAGAACCTAATGTTGATGAAATAAATGCATGGCTTTTACAAATCGAAGAAAAACTGAATAAATTAGATGGCGTTCCGGTTGATCAGTTGACGGAAAATCATTTTGAACAATGCAAAGTAATTGATCATTTAAACATATACTGCATCACAGTTGATATTTTATATATTGTTAAATATTTGTTCAATGTTTTACGTTTATTTTTAGGCCGTTCAAAGTGAAATGATTGCAGCAAAACCAACAGTCAATGAATTGCAACGTTACACCTATTACCCGAAAGTAGCGGACGTCTATAAGAAATGGGAAGACATGTCCAATAGAATACAGGTACGTATATTTATATAATATTTTTAAGTATCATTCATTGCTTGTTTTCTCATTGCTTGTATTGCTTTTTCTTTATCTTAACATCTGGTATATGTAATGCTTGTGCTTTATAGTACCATTACGTATATCTCATAAAAAAAAGTTCTGTAATATAAATATTGCATAATTTTTTAATTTATTATACATTGCAATATGATTATATTGCTAGCAAGTTTCTATAAACTAATATTTCAATTCCACTAAA